TATGGGAACAAGTGAGCCAATTGTGACAGAAAATACTGCAATTGAGTATGCCTCAGCAGAGAACAGGTAATCAGACTTCTACAATACAAGTCACACACCTGGATGTGATGAATCTAGATCTGAATGTCATTGCTAAAGCACTGAATCCCCTGAAAAAGGGATTCCCTGGGTGGAAACCTTGGTGTTGCAAGCATTGAGCTTGTTTCAACTGCAGACACCAAAATCATAATGTAAAAGATTGCACTCAGTGTGCACAGTCAAAAAACTAGCAGGATCAGTGAGCTCAGAGGCACTTGCTGATATTCTATGAAAAGTCTTCAAAGTGAAAGAGATGCCTGTGTTAGATGACTCTCTGAATTCTGTGAATGCAAAGAAGAAGCAGGCTCCTGACTGAGGTGCAGGCGAGGATGAAGTGAATGCTCATCTCAATGCCTTGAGGCCTGAAATGTTAATGTATAAGAGGCACTTGAGTAAGAATTGAGAGGTGGCTGCAAAAGTGTTAGTAGACACAGGAGCTTTGACACAATATATTGATGATTATATAATCTGAAGATTGAAAGGGGTCCGCTGAGTGAAGGATCCCCAATGCATAAGATTATCTGATAACTGATATTTGATATCACCTGCAAAAGTAAGAGTTCTCTTGCACTTTGAAGGATGATCTTGCTATATTTGGGCGTGAGAGCTGCAGAACATGGAATACAACCTTATTCTTGAACTTGATTGATTTCAAAGGTTCAATCTGCAGATTCAATGATGTACATGTCATATGCAGTTGACTGATAGGAAGAAAATGGTTCATATGATTCTATCAACTGATATGAGAAGGATATTCCACGCCTCTGGTATAGAAGGATTAAATCTGCTTACACATCAACAAGCAAAGAGAATGATTTGCAAGACCTCATCTGAAAGCATTCTGTATGTCATACAGGACCTGGAAGCAGAGGAAACCAAGATAAAAGATATGCGGGAGGATAAGCATATAAAGAAGCTTCTGAAGAAGCATGGGAAGGTCTTCTGAACAGATCTTCCACCAGAATTGCTGCTGGAATGAGGATTCATACATGAGATTGACATGGGGGACACAAAACCAGTCAACCAGAATGTGTACCCCCTGTCACAAATGCATCTTGAAGAACAGAAGTGTCAGATCACAGACCTTCTAGAATGTGGTCTCATACAACCCTCATCAAGCACGTGGGGCTTTCCAGTCCTATTTGTGAAAAAGATGGGTGGAGAGTGGCGGATGTGTATCAATTATCAAGCACTCAACAAGCTAATGATCAAGAATGGATATTCACTGCCATGGATTCAACAATAGTTGAATACAGTCAGAAACACCTGATATCTATTGAAGATTGATCTTCTCTCAGAATACTGGTAGATTTGTGTAGATAAACTGTCAGTCCCGCGAACTGTGTTTAATACACAATGAGAGAAGTTCAAATTCCTAGCAATGTCATTTGATCTGACAAATGCGCCTGTCACCTTTCAAATGATGATGAATATGATCCTTCATAAACAGAATGGAACCTCATGCCTTGTATACCTTGATGACATCCTAGTCTTTTCAAACTCATATGATGAACATCTGAAGCATCTCAATGAAGTGCTTACAACTCTGGCAGAGCATAAGCTCTATACCAAATCAATCAAGTGTGTGTTTGAAATGGAAGAGTTGGAGTTTGTGAGACATGTAGTGAGTGGTGACTGTATACACCCCATTCTGAAGAAATTGAATGTCATAGTGAATTGGCCGCGGCTGAGAAATGTACACCATGTACAACAGTTTCTTGAGTTGGTCTCATACTACTGCAGGTTCATCAAGGATTTCACACAAATATCTGCACCACTCTCAGATCTCTTAAGAGAAATGAATGCAAATCTGTGAAAGAAGAAGTTTCATTCAATCATCTGAAATGCTGTGTGCAAAGAGGCTTTTCTCACACTGAGGGAATGTATAACAACATTCTCAGTGCTTATTCAACCAGATTGTGATAAACCTTTCTACATCAAGACAGACACATCTGAATGGGCTATCAGAGGCGCCCTTCTACAGATGGGCAAGGACAGCAAGCTGCACCTGGTGGTGTATGATGGTAGGAAACTATCAGGCGCTGAGCTCAATTACCCAGTGCATGAAAAGAAATTGCTAGCAATCAAGCACATGCTGGTGTTGTGGGATAGATATATTGACAACAGGCATATAACAACAGTGATCATGAATCATGAAAGCCTCATCTATCTACAATCAATGACAAAACCTTTCCAAATGCTTACCATGTTGGATCTCAGAGTTCCAAGTGTATAATCTTCATATCAAATACTGAAAGGAATTGAATGTAGTGATGCTGAATGCAATCAGTTGCAGACCTGATTTCATGGGTGAGGGTTCTGTGAACCAGGCACAAGGAATGTTCATGTTAACACACTGAGAGAATGCAAGGAATCAGAATGAGTGAATGCCATGATCTCTCACTTGAAGAATGGCAAGGTGTTGAATGACAAGCATCTCATGAGAGTAGTAGAAGAGATGCTTCTGAACTTCAAGCTGGGGAAATTGGGAAATGAAAACAATATTGTGCTTTACTGTGATCTAGGATACACAGAAGCTCCCTATCTAGAACCTTTATTTAGACATGACTTGATGGCTCACATGCACAAGGAATTCAGCCACTTAGAAAGCCCTGGACTCATGGGTGTACTCAAACCAAGAGTATACTGGTCAAGCATGGCCGAGAACATCCAGGTGTACACTCACGAGTGCCTGAATTGCCAGGTCATGAAAGAATCTAAGAAAGGATTAGAATGTGAGGAAGCACAACATCAGGTAGAGTGTATGATACAACTGTTCAAATGATGGGGGATGGACCTTATAGACATATTGCCGCGAATGCTAAATGGAAATTGATGGATAATCACTGCTATTGATTATGCTACTGACTGGCCAGTTGTAAGAGCAGTTTCAGAGATGACAGAGAAGGTGATGGTGAAGTTCCTACATGATGAGATCTATGTCAACTATGGAATGCTGCGCGAGATTCTAACTGATAATGGTGTGAATCTTGTAGAAGGAGTGATGAGGCATTTCATAAGTCAGTTACAGACAAGACATTGTAGAACAACATCATACCACCCGCGGATGAACAGGAAGATGAAATGCTTGAATGGAATCTTGAGCAACATGCTGATGAAATATCTAGTGAATAAGCCTACAAGACTATGGGATGAATATCTCAGGCAGGCACTATTGGTCACGTGGATTTGACAGCATGCAGTCTCCAAGTGTTCATCATTCTACCTGTTGTATGGATTGCACCCGCGCATCCTGGAGAATGTTTCAGAAAAGATGAGGGAGGGAGCAGTTGCAGATGCAGCAGGAACAGCAGTTGCAGATGCAACAGTCACAGATGCAGAACCAAGATTGAAAGAGATCAGCCACACACGCACAAAAGCTAATGAGTTACTCCTGAACTGAGCAATTCAATTGAAAAGAATATGAGACTCACTTGTTAAGAAATTGAGTCTCAAGATGGGAATGTGAGTCCTCATATACAATGAGAGTTCTGAGAAGTTCCAACCTAGGTGGTTTGAGCTATATAAAATACTCAAATCACATCCTCTGAGAATGTACACATTGGAAGAACCAGGGGGACAGATCTTATGCAACTTAATCAATGATTCATGACTTGTGAAAGCAAAGATGTAAGACCTGAGCAGATTATGATCATCTGCAGCACTATTATCAGCATTGAAAAAGAAGAGACTTACAATTGAAAAGCCTTGTGAAGTAAGAGAAATCATAGACACTTACAAACCAGATGATCTCACTTATTCTGACCTTTCCACAATTACAAGGAAAGAATGGAAAGAAATGAAGAAATCAGGTGAATGCCACACTTCAATAAGTGATGAGACTGTAGCTGATTGTATGATAATGCGCTGCAGACAGCGGGTGCAACACAGCAAAGAGTGATCTCAAAGCAGCAGACTTGCACATGAGTCAGATTGCAGAAGAAAAAGGAATTCAGAGTTGAATTTAACTGTTTACACCAGTTCAATTGTGAAGACCACAGAGGACAAACTATCTGAAACATCCACAGATGTGTGGGACCAAGTCATCTCAACCCCTGAAGATGCTCAGAGGTCAGATGAGGTTAGTTTTGATGAGCTGTTTACTGTAGTGGTCTGAGTGGGTGAAGAGAGACAGTATAATGTGTGAGACAGAATCACAAAAAGTTAGAAGCTGCTGAACCTAGTCACTGAATGCTGTACCATATAGAGGTTGTGTAAGAGTAGTGACTAGCAGATAGAGGAAAAGTGTAAGAAAAGAGATGATGAATTGATCATCAACTGTAAGAGTCAACTGTAAAAGACAAATATTATCATATATATCTCATTCATTTTCATACATCACACATTTAATCTATTTCCAACACCATGCCATCTGAAAAATGCCAAAAACAAAGGAAATCTCAAAACTCAAGATCTGCAAGGGATTTGAGAATTGCAAGCTGCTCTTGCAACAATGCTGTGTATGCCTTCAATTCCTCTACTGCTCTGTGTACAACATTAATGTCATTGATTGCAAGATTGACTGGAATACTAATATAGAAATGCACACGTGTACATGTAGAGAAATTGAAGAAGAGTGTGAGACCTGCAGGACCAGGAGTCAGGGCAGGGGGGGCAAAGGCAGAAGAAACAGAAGAAGGAGGAGGCACAGGACCAGATGAATGGCAGAAGCCACCCAGGGCTGAACACTTATGACTCAGTGTGTGCACAACCTTCCCTGCAGAGAAGGGAGAGGAAGTGATGAAAGGAGCTTGAGAGCAGGAGAGGGTAGTCTCAGCAGTGTTATCATCTTCAATCAGAATGGCCTCTGATGCCGGAGCAACTAAGAATCATTGTTAGTGTATGAAAATTGCAAAATCAGGGATGAGAACAGTTACTGAATGAACACCTGCTGGCCTTAGAATTGTATGCGCAATTACAACATGCATGAGGCTTCTCAGAAAGAGAGAGAGAGACATGAGAAAATGCAGGAAGCAGAATGCAGTGTGCAAACAGCTCATTCTCATGATGACACTTCAGACAAGGTGTATGAGCCTCACACCTGTGAGTGTAAAAGAGTATGACATCTGCATTCTCATTTCTGAAAACATGGATATCTTTCGCCTGCACCATGAAGTCAGATGACAGATATCAGAGAATAGGCTGATACAGATTGATCATTCTGAAGGAATTCACCAGAGCAAATGTCTCTGCAATGTTGAACTTTATAATTGTAAAAAGCTTCTTGATATCTGTGGACACCATGACTTCATACACAGCAAAACCCATAATGATTTCCTCTAAGAACAGGAAAATCAGTGTCAGATTGAAAAGATGAAAAGAAAAAGACTCACAATCTCAATACTGTTGAGAAGGGGGATGATTCTCTGATATGAATGAATGATTGCTTCATCATGAATATTTAAAACAAATGTAATAATCAGTGTCTGTGACTGAGCTTCAGATAGTTGTGTTGTACACAGTCTTCATGCAATAAATCATTCTGGGAGTTGACAAGAAGGGTGGAAGTGTACACACTGAGAGATGTGGTTCATTAAGCCTATGCAACATCTCCTTGAATCGGGGAGAGCTGATAACAAAAGCAGAGGCGGCAAAACCAGGAGTGGCAGGAGTGAGGGTTGCGGGAACAGGGGTAGTGGGAGCGGGAGAACCAGACACAGGGGCAGGTGTAGGAGATTGGGGGGGAGCGGCAGAGGAAGGAACAGAGGGGGGAGGGGAGGACACGGGAGACCCGGCCACACATGGCATGAGCAATTCCTCCATTATCACATTCTCCAAGTTCTTGATCAATGATTCAACATTGGGTTCACTATCATCAGCGGATGCAGATCTGTCAACACATGATGATTCTACATGAATAAAAACAAACATATCAGCATCTGCGTTCACACAAAATCATGCCAGAAAACATGATCAGGAACCCGCTGAGAAGAGAAACAGTTGAGGATGTATGAGAAGGTGTGTCATCATCCATGGTAATACATCATTCTGGCGATTGTTAGAAGATAAACAAGCCCTGACCATGTTTCACAATGCGTTACACTTACTGCTAACAAACTGCCTGGTATGAGCACTATGATGATGCTTGTTGTGGGAATGAGGGGCCATTGCCAGGAACATGTACAATGTGATAGGTGGACAGATAGAAAGAGTTGAACAGGAGAAGGAGTAGAAATCTTGGATGGTGGTGGTGTTCAATGATGATGGAATGAAGAAGATGGTTGAAGGATGGGAAAAGTTAGTGAATGAGTGGTGTAATATAGTGGAAGTTTCTTTGTGAGGGCATACGCAGGACACTAGCTGAATCAGGGATAGGTCACACAATTGTGAAATGCTAGTGGTGAGCTAATCCGCATGAAGCTAGGGTGTACAACATGGTCATGTGGGTGTGACTGAATCTGGTGGGGGAGGATGTGGTTCGGAAGAACGTACAACTGTCAGATAATACCGCGGCCGCTTCCGAACTACTAGCGTACGCGTACAAGTGTAAAGGGGCCATAGCAGCCGCTAATTAAATTAGCGTACGAGATTCAATATATAAGAAGCCGGCGTACGCCTGTAATCGTACGCTGGCTTAAGCAACCTTTGAATCACATATAAACAGTTTTTATATTCTGGGCTGGAATTTTCTGATTTTGCATATCTGAAATTGATGAATGTATAATAGTTAACTTTACAGATATAGGAAAAACTCTGAGAACTAAAAGTTCTCAGATAGATGTCATAGTCTCTGACTGTATACATCTATAATTGAAGAATAATAATAATAATAATAATAGTAAAAAGTAAGAGTCTTTCTGAAAAAGATAAACTACTCTTATCAAAATATTAATACAATATTTCTTAAAAAGAAAAATGTGTCATTCAGACTATAATCTGTAGAATAGTTGAAGATTGTATTAATAGATCTATCTACAAAGAGCTTAATATAGTGGTTGGTCATGTGATCTAGCGAGATCACCACAGCCAATAGTCGCAAAGGCCGTAACGGCCAACACATTACAATTCACTCAAGAGATTAAACAACATGTTTCTCAAGCTAAATAAGCGAGCGTAAGCAAGTGATTGAGGGTTGTTAACAATAATAATACGCCACTCGAGACCGGCTTGATGTCATCGTTGAACTTTAAATATCTTGGTTGCCGACGCGCTCTGGAACCGACTCGGAAATCGTTGTCCACTTGGGCAATGCTCTCCCAGCTCTCTACGGAGTAGTTAGTCCGTAGTTACTGTGCACAGCATTTTCCAGCCCAAGGAAGTCGTCCGGTCAGGAATGTGGCGCTGCGTTGGACCGGTGTCAAAGCGTTCAATTATTCAACCTGAGGGGGAGATGTCACTAAGTATGTGAAACTAGTTGAACCTTGTGAGAATCTGGCAGACTCAAAATGAGTGCGACTACGTTGAACGCACCGTTGAAGGGAAAACGGATTCGAACGTAGGTCTCCCGTGTGCCCGCACTCCTCAAAGCCAGAGGAAACTTTCCGGCCTCCTCTCCGCCTTGCTATTTTATTTTAGGAATGGTGGTTTCTCTCAAGAGACAAGTGCCTTCAGGCATGAACCTTCGCTCGCTGACAGACTGGACGCCAAGCAGGGCCTTCCACCATGTAGAGAACCGAGGGATCTCGCCCTTACAGCCAGCCGGAGTCTCGGTGCGAAGCGGGAATCAAATCCGTATCTTCATATCTTCACCATATTTGCCGGTCAAACCCCAAGGCCGAAGCTTGCTTGAACTAAGCTTCCTGTGACTTCCTTCGCTCACCAACTGCTGTTGGGATTACGACCAGCGAATAAGAAGATGCTATGGAGGACGGATCATCTCGATTGACCAATCTGGCTGGTTACCTCTTTCTTCAAGACCTCAACGGCAGAAATAAAGTTATTGCCGTGGGTCTTCTTCAATCAACTTGCTGACCCAGCAAACTCGAGGTTCAGACGCAGCCCACCCTATCGGGATCTGGGGCACTCCTAGTTCTTACAGGCTTCATCCCAAGCGGTGCTCATGGGCTGATCGCCCGCAAACGATCCCCAGGATGGGCTAGTTGTGGAGTACCAAGCTCTGCCAAAACGACCAGCAGCTTGTAGCATTCTTCATTCTCACCGCTCGTATTTGGTTGCTCGATAGCTGTGCCGCAGCATGATTTGGACAGCCAGGAAAAAATACACCTTAAAATATCCTTTTTTAGGTGCTGGCTTCGGCTCTCTGAATAAAGTTCCTTCTAGCCTACACTAGGACTGTTCTCCGCTGACAGGTTTCGAGGAGGACCGGGGTGATTTCAGGGGTGCCTGGCGGAGGTGTCCCCCCGCAAAATTCCACGAGGCGGGTAAGGATGGCCTAAGCGCGAGTCACAACCTAGGGAACATTTCTCCAACCCTGGAAGAGTATTTCTCTCACTCTCTCTCTCTTTTTTTTTTTTTTTTTACCGCGATCGATGCGACAGCGGCAGCAGCGACAGTCTTGACTCTGTCAAAGCAGAACATGGAGGAAAAGAGCTGCAGCATTTTCACTGTCGCGATCTCTTTTCTCGTCGTGTCATGGGTAACTGTTGCATTGCGCTGCTATGTGCGCCTGAATCTGACCCGATGGGGCATGGATGACATCCTCGTGGTCGTGGTTGTGGTATGTCTGACCATGCCTATAGTTACCCATGTACATGTACATGTACAGTAAGTACCCTGTCCTGCTCTCGTGCGTGGCTAATTATCTCTTTTCTATTTCTTTCACAGTTCATGTTCAGTGGTCTCGCGGGTTGCCTCATGCAATCTGCGTCCCTAGGCCTTGGGAAACATTCTAAAGATATAAAATCAATCGATGCAAGGGCCGATGCATTCAAGGTTAGATACAAAAATCTCGAATTGTATGAAGTTCCACATCGCATCGCATCGTTTTTAACATCCAGCACAGTTTTTCTTTACCGCCGATATGTTATATATCTTATCGTCGATGATAGTCAAGGTTTCCTTCTGTTTATCCCTCTTACGAATCATCATCGTTGGACGAGCTTACATCTTTACGATATACACAGTTGGCGTGATTACCTTCATTTTCACGACTTTCTACTTCTTTTTCGCCCTTTTCTCTTGCTCGCCAGTGGAGTATACCTGGGAACAGATACGGAATCCGGACCTGGCCGGGACATGTCGGCAATATTTCAAGGTTGTGGCTGGGAGCTATGCCCATAGCTCAATCATTTGTGCGGGCGACTTGACACTCGCAAGAGTCCCTGCCTTGATGATAAGGAAATTGCAACTAAACCGCCGTACTAAGTTATCCGCTTGCGTTCTCCTTGGGTTTGGATCAGTGTGAGGTTTCCACATGCAAATCAATCAATACCTTCTCTAACTTCTTCCCCATCAGAGCAAGCATCGCAACGATAGCCCGGCTCACATATGTCCACCACGGATATAACCAGGTTGATTTCCTCTACGTGAACACCGAGATAATGATATGGTCCATGGTCGAGATCGGAGTCAGCATCATCGCCATATCCGCCGTGACGCTCAAGCCGCTGCTGATGAAATACGAAATCTTCTTCAGCTCCCCTCAGGGCAGCAACAACAACCACAACCACAACTACAACAACAACGCGGCGCATGAGCGCGGCCGCATCTACGGCGCCCGCGACAGTGATTTCACATACACCATTGGCTCAGGGCCGCCGCGGCGGAATCGGGCCTCGACGCACGGTATCATTAGCGCCTCGCGGTTGAGGCCTGATCAGGCGGTTGCCAGGGGCCAGTCATCATCCGAAGAGAATATATGGGTGCCGAAGGGGGATGGGCATACGATGCCGAGCAGAGATGGGCCGGAGGATGATTTGGAACTCATTCCTAGGGGCGGGCAGATACATAAGATACATAAAGTTGTTGAGTTTTCGACGTCGAGGGGTACGACTGAGGAATCAAGTCAACACATTTCTGAGCATAATAGGTATACGGAGCAGGTGTAATGAGGGATCCTGCAGCGCCAAGTCGCATGAAATATTTAGTACGCACGGCCTTCCTATATAGGCATAGATGCCACGATTCGGCGCTGCTGTGGCATAGGCCTTGTAAATATTGTATTCATCTAATTGAAAACCTCTTGTATGCCGGGTAATGGATATAATAATAATCCGTCACTGTAATAAGCAGCTGCAGCTGCCACTGCCACTGCTGCCGCCACTGCCGCTGCCGCCGCTTGTACAGTTATTTTGAACTCCAATAATAATAATAAAAAGTGAGGTCTTTGATATCAGCCGCCTGTTCCATACACTCATTTTGATTTCAATCTTGAGAATATAAGAGCTTGATGGCAATAATGATGATGGTATGGTATGGCAATTGTGAATGCAAATCAGAGGGGATAGATAACATGGATAGAGAAAGGCCTATGCGTAGGTGGAGTTGATGATCAATCTGCCTTACAACAATATGAGATATGAGGCTAACTTGATGATGAAGCACTAATTATTATAACTAACTGAATAAGAAAGGCTGTACAGCACTAATTACATGTGCATACTATGTATGAATTTGTGCAGAAACATTGCATGTATGAATCCATCTGTGTGATAGTGGCATTAATTAAAAACATCACTGAACACTAATTTACATGATGTTAAACCATATAAGAAAGGCCATTACTGCGAAAGGTGCTTGCAGAATCCCTCTATTAAATATATTATATATGTATATACTGTCTAGTTTTCATAAGCATTTAAAGGTGTTGAATGTTCGATTGATTAACATCTATTTATTATCTATTTTTATTTTTTATTTTGGTTTTGATTTTACCTAGTGTCGGAATGAGTGTCACAGATGAATATGTTGAAGACATATGAATCTTATGTGTATCAAGATCTGCTTGTTATATTATCT